AGTAATTTAACAAAGTTTTTACCTTGATATGTTCACAAATATTTTAAATGATGTGAAAATAAATAAAAATAGAAGCTACGTGTGGAATGCTGCAATAAGTCATGAAATAGACCAAAAGAACCTACTGCAAAAAAATCATGGATTTTTCTTGTTATCCTCTGAACTTTGACTTTGAGATCACATTTTCTTGCAGAAGCAAGAAGGTACAGCTGGTTATACCTCAAATGACTAGTATGTTCTTCATCTTTTTTCTACAATTTAGAAATCAGTGTTTATCCCTTTCTCATTTCAAATTTGAAATACTTACATCTTGTAAACACAACCAATAAAATGTGTTCAGAGATGCTTCAGTATGTAGATGTGCAACCTCCCTCATCACTTCATATGGAGTGTTAAAAAACGCTAACAGTAATGAAGAGAAAAACATGACTAATTTTTTATAGCAATAAACTTTATACAACACCAATGATCATTTCCTGGAGCAACAGGTTTGTGACATCCTATTGATGTTACGGCGTTGCCACCATGTGGACATGCATTGAATTACAGCAACAGAAAAAAACGCTCCACTGTTGTGCATGCAAAATCAAAGAGTCGCAAAAGAAAAAGAAAAAAACATCAAATAAGCAAAAACAACAAAAACCATTTTGTCTGTGGATACATTTATAATATGTTCTTTCTTCCATTTTTTCTAATACAGACCTTGAGCATTTCCTTTTATGACCCTGTAGTCACTTGAAGTTTTACATTGTCTTATTTTTAGACTCTGCACGGGAACTTTTCCTGATTCAAATCATAATAATCTTTATTTATCTTGTACTGATCCCTCTAGCTTGGTGTGTAATATTTCTTCAGAGAGCCCTGTATGAAAGACAGACAGACAGAAATAAAAATAGTATGATCTACAAAAAACATCACAGTATTATTAGAGTTACTACAGTCCCATACTGAAGATCTTAATATGCAGGGTAGTGCAAAATTTTGAGAGCCATAAACAAGTAGATTGAAACTTGAACACAGAATGACACGAAATTTCATGAATTGTGTTAGACATAACCAGTAGACCTAGGTTTGTTTTTTAAAATGCAAGAAGATTCCTTGAGAAACTGCTGGCTTTTGTTGTTTTTTGTGGGATGTATTGGTTTGGTTTTCCTGTTAGGACACAGAGGGCCTGACTGAGGACCTCAGGCTGCATTTTGCCTATGTGTTCTCCCATGTGGCCAACTTTCTTCTGATTACTAGCGCATATGCTGACTTGATTATTTAAAACTTTTGCTGTGTTTACAGTGAACATCCGCCACTGCAACAGTATACATGACATAAAATAAGAACACACAATAGGCCCACTTTTTAAGTTTGACAGATTCACAGGTATGAAACCGGTCCATCTAGTGAAGATAACATCTTCAGTCCTTGAGACTAAATAATAAGTCGCATACAATTGATTTAGTATTCCAGAAACAAGAAATACTAACAAAACAAGTGCACATTTTTCTTGAGATTCAACATGGAGAAAAAATTAAAGTAAAATGTGATGAGTAATTTGTTACTTTTGCCACGTGGTGGCGATAGAGTCCAACTTACAGCTGTGGAGCTGTTCATTGAGAGACGATTTGTGACAGACACTACCTCTTTATGCAGCTGTTGAACTGCCTTTTATTAACTTTTGGTTGGGCCTAATATGTTTAAATCAGCAAGACAACAGCAACAACAATAAAAACAAAAGAGACAGTTTGGAACATAGAACGATCATGCAGTTTATGAAAAAAGAAGCCCCAAAGAGGAAGAGACTTTAAACAAAAAAGTGACTCACAGAGGGACTTGGGTGAATGGTTGCTTATCTCTCAAAACATGTAATCTCATAAGCTATATGGTAATTCTTACAGGAAACCACTGGTTATACATATTTTAGTAGGTTCTTTAGAAACAATTTAAACTTATTAAAGCCAAAGGTTATTCTGGCACACATGTGGTTATTCTAAAATGGTCTGTTTTTTCTTGTAGCGGTACAGCACATTTAAGACTTTCAGGTTTGAACCAATGGATTGTTTCATACATTTGAATACAATTGAAAGTGTTAAAGCAATAATACTAGACATTAATACCAAAAAAGTTAAAATGTTAATATTTTTTTCAAACTTATTCTGAAAGTTTTTTCATAAGTTTCAGAATAAGTAAACTTCATAGAGTTGCCCTTTTGTGGTTTCAGACTAAAATAAGCTTATGCACTTCTTTGTCAGAGCTGACATCTAGTTTCCACTGAGTATTAAGCACAAACTGTGTGAATACCTAGTAGCTTGTTTGTTCTTTTGGTTCAGAACACTCTTTCACAACCACACAAATACATGCCTGATTTCTCATGTGAGGGATAACGTGTGAGCATTTTTTTCTAATGAACTTCCTTTGGTTTCACAAAGTGCATGGCTTTTCAGTATGAGCACATTTCATTTAAAGCAGGGCAGTGACCAAAGCAAGAATGCAAATCTGATGCCACATGCAAAAAAAATCTGCTGAGGCCACCACTCATGCTATGACCCACACAAATACAAACAAGAACTTCAGAACTAAAGGGTCACTGTACTGCCCTGTAGCATCTAGCTTGAGCATGCTGAGCGATGGCGTTTAAGGTCAAAGATTCAGATAAAGAACATTTAGTTCTTTCCGTTTCCTTGATTAACATGATTCAAGCGTATTCTGCATTTTGAAGTGTGACACAATGGCATACTTGTCCATTACACAACACATTATACTACATGACACCAGTAGTTAATAATCTAATACAGATCTATTCTATAAAAATAAATAAATTTAAAAAATCTTTAATCATAACTTATTTTGGCTAATATTATTTTTGCTATTTTAGTATAATCATGGGTTGGCATTAAGCTATGGTAGCTCTTATAGACCATTGATTCTAAAAGCAGTTAGAAATTCCTAAGCATATAACTTTTGGCTGGCCGGAAGAGAATTTGATGGGAGATTTGAAGACAGAAATCATGAACTGGATTATGCTCTAGTTAAGATCTGAAATATTTCATTTGCATAGTTTCAAAATACGTTCAGCGTTGCTTTTATGATTTACTTTCATGCAGTCAGAGTGCTGGCTTTGTGGATCATTTTTTGTGTCATTTAAAATAGAATTTTCAGAACCCCTCCTTCCAAACTTGAAAGATTGCTCACTTCCTGTAATCATATCAGGAGATGCCTCAAACAGCATGAGGTGTATAAAAATGATTTCAAATGGGATTTTCTTATTTCATAAATACTGACTCTAAGTAATAAAAGATTGCAGATGCCTTTTGTCAAAACAGTTCTGACTTGTTGGGGCATGAGGGACCTCCATGGGACTCCTGTGCTGTCTGGAATTTGGACTTTGGCAATAAATCCTCTGTGGACTCTACAGTCAGGGCTTGTTCTGGCACGTCCCAGAGATGCTCTTGGGTTGGGTACTGGAGACCTAGTATTGTGGGTGAGCGTCCTAGGCTTTTGAGTTTCTTTGAGCTGAACAACTGTAGGTGTTTCAAGACTGCTGCTGTCAGGGACAATATGTCCCACATACTGAGACCATGTCCCACATTCTGAATGAATCATTCTAAATCAACTTAAGTCACAAAGCCACAGAGATGATTAGCAGACAGAACAGCAACCAGTTTCATAGTTACTAGAACAGAAAGAGAAGAGGTGACTGTAAGAAGACTATAGAATAAAACCATAACGACAGACATCAGCAACTGTTTATACTTTCTGTATTTCACCTACTGAGTGTGAGGAATTACAGTAATGGCAGTTACTGTCTCACCATGATTGAGTTTAAGTGTCCTGAGGGAGTTGGCTGGTTTAGACCTAGTTTTTCTTTTTGTCTACTTTTAGTTGAGTTTTTATTAGTTTCAGTGTTAGTTTCATTATTTGGGGTTGAAACCCAAGGCTTTCCAGAATGGGCAAGTTTGGGAAAACCAGTATAGATATTACCATAAAAACAGAACTTTTTGAAAGCAGTGACTCACAGCCTTGTAGACATCCAAAGTCTGACGATATAAGTTTTTCAAAGCCTAATCAGGCAAATTTTTAGAAAGTTTTACCACACTAACAAACGCTAGAACTAAGGATATTTTCTCCGTATTTTATTTAAGTTAGTTTGTAAAGTTTCGGTTATCTTTAATTTTTTCCATTTTTTTTAAATAATTATTTTATATGAGAACTTTTTTTTTTAAATTAACTATAATAACATTGCATCAAACCGCCTTTTGGTATCTGTCACATAATGCACAAACATATTCTTTGCCTCAAATTTAACTTGTTTCTATGCCTATCTGGTCACTCTGCCTGTCATTGGTGTCAATGTTGGTGTGCTTTCACTAAGCTGATGTTATTGCTTGTATCCCAGTGCGCATACCATTTAGGTCAGGGTTGTCAAACAGAAGGCATTTGTAACTATATCTTCATAAGTTTTACAGCTTGTCCTATTGATTGCCATTGCCCACACCAAACCAAAGTATTAAGAAATAGATAAACAATTAAATGAAGGAAAAGTTTCTGTTTTTAAACTATGCACTATAGAAATGTCTGCATTTTCTATGAATTAACATAAACTTGTTGTAAATGTTTCATAAACAGTCTGGACAATGCACTACCAGTAATTTTATACATTTGTCATATGGAAGAACAGAGTTATTTTTCTTATATTAAGACAAGTCAGGTATGAAATGTTTAGTTAAGCCTTTGACAGAAAGGAAATGTTCCTGGGTTGTGTGTGGCCCACAAAGTACACTGACTTTAACAGCCTTGATTTAAGTTATTTGGGGGTATAAGATGTTGCCTAATGCAGAAACATACACAAAATAATTCAGCTGAGAAAAATATGTAAAATGAAACTAAAACCTAGAAGTTCTTCCCATCTAGAGACGGGCGTCCATACTCCCTGACCTTTGGTGTCACGCTGGTCCCCCAGCACGGGAATTTAGACAACATTACCCACAGTGCAGTGCAAGCCGCACCTTCGCCGGGTGGAGCTTGTGAACGTGGGAACGTTGGTGGGCTGCTGCTGTTGCTGCTGGAGTGAAAATTGTTTGACAGGGAGGTGAGGCGACCTGTGCACGGGGGACTCGCAGGAGAAGTTAGTTTTTACCGTGGCGTTAGCCAGCTTTTTGAGTCAGCGGGAAGGCGAGACTCGGGGGCGACAAATGGTTCCTTCGCGTGTAAGCAACAGGGCTCAGAGCGAAATGTCAGGCACTGTTTCAGCCTTGAGCAGCGTGAAGCGCGACTAGTACACCGCAACGGGGAAAATATTCAGAGGGGAGAGAGAATGCGAATGGTGCGAAGATACCGAAATCAAACAAAATGGAAACGATGTAGCGTCGCTGCGGCATTTCATATAGCTAGAACTAACGTTAGAGTAGAGAATAGATAGCCAAGGAGCTAGCACGTTTACTAACATACATGTAAAGTTATTCACCAGAGAAACTGAAGCAGAGCCCGGAGGCGTCTGTTGAATCTGAAGAGTTCATCAGCATTGTGAAATTAAAGGAAGAAAAGATGCTACGGAGAAGACTGAACCGTTGGGTATGTGTGCCTGACACACACACACACGCGCACACACACACGGTTAGCTTATGACGTCCAGCTGCCACTGCTAGCGTTTAACCGCTGTGGTTTTGCTTCCCCTCCCCAAATAACAATGAAGTGCTGAGCGTGCCCTTGCGTGATGTATTTCCCCTTTGCTGTCTTCGTTGTAATTGCGATTGAATCCACACACATTGCAACAAACAGTTTTCCTCACACCGCCAGATAACACGAACCAGCTGTTGTCTCACTTCACGGCTCTCGTTAGTCAAGCAGCTGGTTGTTAGGTAAGTTCTTACCAGCCAGGAAGTCACGACAGATGCAAGTTAGCATTAACGGGGAGTCAACTGCACTTTTAGTGCAAGTTTTGCAGTGATAAAGGGAAGTACAGTCTGTCGTCATCCTAAGCAACAATATTATTATCGTCATTAACACTTTCAATATTACAGTGATGATAATGAAACCTTTTAAAATGGTTTTCAAGTTCTAAAAAAGCAAAAAAAATGACAGAAATACAAAATGGGGAAAAAAGAATAAATAACAATGCACAAGAGCAATAATATCAGTAAACACCTGACACCTATGCCCAGGGAAATGTTTCTATTCTCTGGGCTCCAAAAATTTATTCACTTGTAAGTCAAAACATAATCTATCAAACCAGGTGTGCCACCTTGTGTTGTCTTTATGGTCCATATCTGTTGACTCAGTATTGATTAGTGAAAACAACTATTTCATCCATTCAGTTAATATAAATGCTGTGAATGTCACTTGATGCAGGTTCTTAAATTTTGAATATAGAAAATTGGTCATATATATTGTACATACAGTGGGTAATTTATACTGTTAGTCTTAGTGTAAGTGAAACGACACATCTGTTAGTTGAAATCAATTTAACCAGATAATGAATGCATATTTGTCCTCAGGAAGCATAATCGCACAGTCCCTGCTATGTGCTTGGCCATAAACATTTTTTTCAGTGGTGGAAGGTGGTGTTTTGCCAACATTAATCGCTTAGGCATGATATTTCATAATTGGTGAAATAAATGCTTGCCTCTTTAAAGTTCATCCACTGGTTTCATTGCCCTTCTCATCGGTTAATCATGAGTGGGCTAGTTGAAAGTGGAGTATCTGCGTTTATAAATGCTACACCGCCTTTACTGCCTCTTTATCCACTTCTTATGCACCAGTAACCTGTTGTCACCACTGAGCTGAATCCCTCACACGCTGTGTGAGCAGTATAGACACTGAGAGTGAATAGGGAGAAGCAATATAATAATTATAGTTCCTGACCCTCCTCCTGGCCTCTCTCTAAGTGTTGCCAGGTCAGCTGGTTTTCCTGCTTGAGGAGAGGATTGCTGCTGTAATCTCTCTTCAGCGTGAGCTGTAAATAATATTTTGTGCAGGGCAGCCAGCCACACTATCATTGATGCATGCAGTGCTGGTATCTGAGGCTCTGGCTCTCTGCCTCCTGATTTTTCTCTGCCACCCTCCCCTTGCCCACGGGAGGTACACGTGCATCATGAAGAGGGAGAAAGATGGAGAGGAGGGAGAGTGACCAAAAAGGCACAGTGGAAGCCTCGTGTGTTTACTTGACTCTCACACTATGATGTGCCGTGCCACTAAACCCGGAGTGTTTAGAAAATCATTAAAGATGGCTGTGGGAACGAGGGGGCTTTTCATGAGTAGGGAAGCTCCAGAGGTTGTAATGCTCTTGACAGGAATGCAAAATCACACAGTTGCCTTTGATGTTCATTCAAGCCCTTGAAGGCAGCAGTGTGATCTGTGCGAGGTGGAGCCTGGCAAAAATGTGATAGTATTATTGTGGAAGCCCTGCCTTGTGTTCAAGGAGAACAGTGCAAGCAAATAAAAACAACATTGCCCATGCAGCACCTCAGTTTCCTTTCCTTTTGCACCATGGTAACTACTAGATCTCCTCCTACTCAGTAGCTCTGTTAAAAACCCCGCACGTGAAGTTTCAGTCCTTTATTTGGATTATGTTACAGTGCTGTAGAAAATATTTCTTCTGCTCAGTGGTGAAGTACACCGAGGCCTCATGTGATGCAGTCACCAGTTAAGAGAATGGAAGCTTTGGTATGCACAAAAGCAGGAAGTAACCATATAGACATAAACTTGTTTTTGGATTCCACGATCAAAAAATGTGTGCTAAAAATAGGTTTCCATTTAATTAAAAAAATCAGTCAGCTGTTTAAATCCTTCTTTGGGAAAATACCAAAAATTCTCCAGTGCCAGATTGCTGCTTTTTGTCTTTGGACTTCACTTGTATATGCAAATTGACAAGGAACTAACCTAACTGACAGATTAGTTCATAATAAAATTCCCATCTGATTCTGAGAGGTAGGTTTTCACTAAAACTGGTATTTTCTCTTTACTAGCATAAAAAGAATTTGTTTGACAGCACTCACTGGACTGACCAATGATCAGAACAATGGGAAAGTCCAAGGATCTCAGTGATGATCTAAAAAAAGAACTGTAGATTTATGTTTTCTTTTGCAGCCGTTTCTAAACAAATGCAGAATCTAAGATCATCAGTTAAAAAAAGTACAAGTTATTCCGATATGTCACCACCGTGCCAACGTCTGGAAGAAGACCCAAACTGTCACCAAAATGTCAGATGAGGGGAAACTGGTAAGGGATCATCAAGGCTCTTGCCATGAACTGGAAACTTACATAATACAAATATCACTGTCTACAGTGATGCAAGTTTTACACCCCCTTGGACTTAGTGGGTGCTGACCAAGGAAGAAGCCCCTGTTTCAGAATTGACACCTTAAAGCTTGAATGAAATTTGCAGCTGCCCACAGAAATGCCTTTAGGAAAAAGATTTTATGGAAAGACAAGACATTGATTAAATAAGTAAACTTGACCTTGATTGAGCTATTTGGCTACAATGACAAGTAGGAGGAGGATTAAAGGTGAGGCTTTCAAACCAAACAATATTGCACCAGCTGTGAAGCATGGTGGTGTGGCATCATGTTCCAGGCCTGTTGTTCTGCCAGTGGTGCTTCTACATTGCACAGCGTGGATAGAAAAATGTAGCAGGACCACCTTCAAATTCTTCAGCTTCACCAGTTTCGTTTACAATCTTCAGTTGCCTACCTCAACAGATAGACAATTGAAGCTTAGACACAATTAGATTTTCTAGGTAGGAAAATGATACTAAATTGGTTTTGGAATGGATAAAGCGGAATCCTGGAATTTCATTCCCAAAAATATGCAAAAAGTTATGGAGTAAGTTGAAAAGCTGTGTCCATGCCCCAGTAAACCAACCAGTTTAAACCGATTCAAGTATCTTGACAAAGTTATGATAGAAGGTTGTAAATAACTGCCAAAAGCATCTTGCTAGCTAAGGTGCAACTTGCTAAGTGACCTTTAATCAAATATTAGTGGCAGTGTATGTATTTGAGATTTGTTAAAGATTTATGCTGTACAATCATTTCACCCTGGCAACAGAACAGTTCAAATAAATCACTGAAAGCCTTAAATTACAATTAGCATATGTAAAGTTCTTCCTGCTGTAAAATATAGAAGTCTAAAACCACCTCTCCATCTCTCATCAATCTTTCCATGATGATCTGAGGCCTGCCTCAACTCTGAGACTACATGACATTACCAAAGAACTAGGTTTGCATGTCAAATGCTTTGGAAATTCCCAGAGGTTTGCAAACCTGTTTGGCAAGTCGGTCAGCAGCACTCGCAGTTTTGAAATGTACACATCTTTCACAAACCTATGTAGCAATTAATGTTGCTCACACTCAAGTGTAGGGCTATAACAACATTAGAATTTCAAACTCAGTGCTACTATTAAAAATTAAGAGTCCATTGTCTTTTAAATAAATATTAGAATAACACTTGTCTGTATATTTAGCTACAGTCCTGTTTATTTTTGGCTCAGCGACACTGGTGAGACCCGTGGCCACGATTTCTGTCTAGTTGCTGATGACCTTTTCTCCGCCTCAATCTGTGACTTTTAAGCGAAACATAACACTTTCTAGACACAAATAATTATGTTAAATCAATTTTGTAACACAAGTTGTGTGCTAATTTTTTTTTAATCTCGTTAAATTAACATTGTCTCTTTACATTACAGAATGTAGGACTGATGATGTTTGGTGCTTAGCTCCATCATTGTTGTCGTTTCATTTCCTTAATACTCACTATTAGATTTTCTCCAGTTTTTTCCCTCCTTTTTTTGTTTTCCTGCCTGTCAGCTTGGACATTGTCATACTACGCATATACTGTAATAACTGAAATGACACTAATGAAAAAGTAAACCAGTAAAAGAAACATGAGAAACACAACAAGAGGAGCCTATAGAGAATTTATTGAGCTCATCTTGGAAAAACAAAATGTGTTTGATCATAATTCTGATTGCAAAAGCTGCCAGACAAGATGGGTTTGAAATAATGGTAAGTCAACAGACAGCTAAGGTAGCAGTTGGGTACCGGTATTTGCTAATAGTTACATGTATGACATTAACATGTGTGCTGGACAGGTTAATGTTTCCAATAACTGGTTACTATTTATATGTTGTTGAAATGGAAGCTTTACTGACTCCACAATATACCCCATAAAGACCAGGGTGTTACTCTTTAAGGTACTTTTCTGTTTGCCATGCTTCTGTTTGAGTGCTCAACTGGTAAAGAGTGGAGAGACTGTGTGAAGTATGTATGTTAGGCTGTATGTCAGCTAGAGAAGATGAAGGCAGTACTGTTTGTATTAAGTAATAAGATTAGTATCTCATTATAGGTGGGATTTATTTACATACATACATAAGCTGCCTTTGTTATAAAGGACACTAAAAAAAGCAAGTATTGAGGTGTTTTTAGAATTTTGATATAGGTGCTTTAGGTCTCCATTCTGGTCAAACCGCTACTTGAGTGAACTATATTTTAAACTTCCAGATTTTATCACATGTCCACTTTTCTCAATAAAAGCTGACTTCTCATTCAGCAATAAAAGGAAATGTTTTTATCTGCTGC